CAACCACTCCGGTACGTAGCGTTGCCATCGACTTTCATGGCGCTGATCGATATAATTGCATCTAGCATTTGGGTCAAGGTGCCAATCAAGCCTTCGAAGACATTTACCATTTTGTGCGGCTCCTGGGGAAGCACAATCCATCTGCCGATCAGCTGTCGACAGAATTGTTGTTGCGAGTGTTCACTGATTACCAGGATCTTCGACTACTGCATACATCAGAACTTGTAAGGGGAGCTAGACGACAAGGAGAAATTCGAGTGGTCGAAGGCGTCGACGCATGTAGGACTAGAGATGAAGCAATCCGGGCAGCATTTAATGATGACGGCAATGATATAGCAAGGAGGGCATCCGACGAGTTGTTTTCCGGTCCATTTACCGAGAATGAATTGTAGCCATTCTACGCAAATGCTATCTCTAGATCTTGTCACAGCCTGGAACACCACTGCCATATTTCAGAATCAAGTCTACAATGCATACCAAAATCAATATCAATCGAAACGGGTGGTTCTAATTGAACTTACCTCAGGCTATAAGGAGGTCCAGCTTTTGGTCTTCGTCAACAACTCACTATTCACTGCAAAATTATCATCAGATTAGTATTCTCTCCTCTCGCCACCGGTAACCAGGGCCAGTATTGTCGCAGGCTCGTTCATTCACCATGCAGCATTCCAGAAACAGCCTCGCTTGCATCCCGCTTAGCGAGCTCGCATCTACAGTCGTTGACCGTATTCCTCTCCTCCTTGAGCAACTCCAAAACCTGGAGGCGGAAGAAGCTTCCCTAGACACCAAGATCCTGTTTCTACAAGACTTGCGGCACCCCAGATCCATGAGCATCTCTATGGACCCGACAAAAGCGCAGCTTGGTACGAGCGTCGCCGAAAATACGCTGAAAAATAGACATATAATGTCAGACGGTATGCATCATCCCAAACGTAGCTCAAGTTCAAGCTGAACGCTGGACGACAAAAATTTGTAGAGACCCCAAACTTGAGAAGGGACTCGAATATGTCAGGGACGGATTCCCCTTCACATTTCTCCACAACAGGCAGAGGGTGATAGTATGGACACTTAGAGATAATTCCGATACAGTCTCCAAGAGCGGAAGATATGACAAACTTGTATACCAGACGATTGTCGCTCTCACTGTAGTAATTCAAGCTCAAGTTCCACGGATGCGGTAGTGACGGCAAAACCGAGACAAGTGTGATTATGTAATGGGATAATCTCTATCCTTTGCCAATGAGCATACGAGCACCACGGAAAGGCGAAAACTATGAGCTCAGCGTGGATCTCAATAGCGAGTACCGCGATAAACGAAAAGATGCGATCAAGCGTGTCATAGCATCTATGACCGTTGGCAAAGGTGCTGCACTTTCTCGCTCGATCTGCTCAACGTGCTTAACACATCCCTACAGACGTCAGCGGCCTGTTCCCCGATGTTCTCAAGAATATGCAGACCGATGATCTCGAACAGAAGAAGCTCGTGTATCTGTATCTCATGAATTATGCAAAGACACAGCCAGAACTCGTCATATTGGCCGTGAACACCTTCGTCAAGGACTCCGAGGATCCTAACCCTCTCGTACGCGCACTGGCGATTCGAACTATGGGGTGTCTGCGTGCAGAGAAGATTATAGACTATCTCTGCGACCCTCTTCAACGCGCCTTACGAGATGACAACCCTTATGTTCGAAAGACGGCTGCGCTCTGCGTTGCGAAGCTGTATGATCTCAAGCCCGAGCTGGTCATCGAGAACGGTTTCTTGGATCAGCTTCGTGATATGATCTCAGATAGCAACCCTATGGTAATCTTATATCTTTCTATCTCACTGAGTAGGCCTCATATTTGCATTTAGGTCGTAGCAAATACAGTTGCAGCGCTTACAGACATCCACAACTCAGCAATCTCCAACCAACCATCTGACTCTACTTCCGACCCCGCCGTATTCTCCATCACCTCCGCTATCTTGAACAAGTTACTCATCGCCCTCAACGAGTGTTCAGAATGGGGTCGAGTTGCAATTCTGAATGCTCTGGCACGGTATGACGCATCAGACGACAAAGAGAGTGAGCACATTTGCGAGCGCGTCGTACCTCAATTCCAGCATGTAAATGGTAGTGTTGTTCTTGCCGCAGTGAAGGTACACAGTGTCGCTCATCCGGCCCTTGCCATGACTTGACCTTTACATCTCAAGGTCATCATGATCCATATACGCAATGTTCGACGAGACGATCTCGTTAAGCAGTTGATCCGCAAAATGGCCCCACCACTGGTCACCCTGCTATCGTCCCCGCCAGAAGTACAATGGGTCGCGCTGCGCAATATTAACCTTCTCCTTCAAAAACGATCCGATCTCCTTTCGAACGAAATGAGGGTATTCTTCTGTAAATACAACGACCCGTTATACGTCAAGATCGAGAAGCTTGATATCATGGTTCGATTGGCGAATGATACCAACGTGGATGCATTGTTGAGCGAGCTGAAAGAGTGAGTCACGCCGATTTCTGTGGTTTACATCGCTGACTGTGTTGGTCAGATATTCGTCAGAGGTTGATGTTGATTTCGTCCGGAAGAGCATCAAAGCCATCGGCCAAACAGCGATCTTAATTGAGAGCGCAGCGGAACGTTGTGTGAACGTGTTGTTAGAGCTCATCAATACTCGCGTCAGCTATGTGGTCCAAGAAGCCGTGGTTGTCATGAAGGTACGTAGTGATATCTAGCTTCTTGTCACCTTCGTAATGATATCCCTCTTAGGATATCTTCAGGAAGTACCCCTCTACATACGAAGGTGTAATCCCTACACTCTGCGCTAATTTGGAAGAGCTGGATGAGCCAGAAGCGAAAGCATCCTTGATTTGGATTATCGGCGAGTATGCCGACAAGATCGACAACGCGGATGAACTGTTGGGGATATTTGTGGACTCTTTCACCGAGGAATCGTACCAGGTATTCAAATTTCGCGTTACCTTATTATTGTGCTATGAGTCCTGATCTTCCGCAACAGGTTCAGCTTCAAACGTTGACTGCAGTGGTCAAGTTGTTCTTGAAGAAGCCTGACTCATCCCAAGGAGTTGTTCAGCGTGTGCTGAATACGGCAACGAAGGATTGCGATTCACCAGATGTGCGGGACCGCGCTTACATATATTGGAGACTCTTGTCAACAGACCCTGGCGCAGCGAAGGTGTGAACAATTTCCGAGCCTTGGTCGATGGTGCTAATCAACTTAAAAAGGCTGTTGTCCTGGCTCATCGGCCACCGATTTCTATCCCAAGAACAACTGTTTCGCCAGCGTTGCTTGAAGAACTCCTCGGCGAAATATCATCGTTAGCAAGTGTTTACCACAAACCTGCTCAAACCTTTGTTGGTCATGGACGGGTTGGTGCTGACTCAGTGCAACGCAAAGGATCAGAGTGAGTGCCCGCTAGCCAGTTTTGTTTGTTTCTACAGAGTTGACGACTCATCGTGTAACTACAGAATCTCAGATGCTCAGAAGGCCCTCCAGACGGTTGTTGCTGGTCAACAAGCGGAGAATCTTCTCGACTTCGGTGATGATTCCGCGCAGGATGGGCAACCTTCTGGACTCGCTGCCACTCAAATACTTCCTTCGACACCTGCTGCGGCAAATTTCCTATCAGGCACTTCCACGAATCCACTAGACGACCTCGTGTCGATCTTCGGTGGTATGGAAACTATGGATACGGGTGCAGGATCACCGTCAACGGCGCTATCGCCGACGATGACATCCCTGTCCTCACCTTTTGAGGGATTTGGAGGGTCGCCAGCGGTACCCTCCCAGCCGGCTCAGAATGCGCAGCCCCAGGAGGACTTGTTAGGGCTGTTCTAACGTACTTGACATCTCCATGCACATGTACGTGTTTCTTCAGTGCCGTTACTACCGGCCTTGTACGTATGGTACACATACATGTCTGGTTGATATGTTCTGTTTTTGAGGAACGGATGGGCTAGTCATACTTGTCACAATGTGTTCGTCACTTCGTGGCATACAATGTTTGGCGTTTATTGCTGTCATGCATGGAGTCTAAAACTGCGCTTTCGGCTTCTGAGCTGGAAGTTTTCTCACTATCAGTTTTGAAATCACGCCAATCCAGACGGGCATTAATGTCAAGCTTCGACGAACGATTCCTGTCAAAATGGTCGATACTATGTTGATCATGATCTTAGGTTATGTACTACATGATATACAACCGTGTCGCCTGAAGTTCCGCCGCGAGTATGTCATTTCGCACGTGGTGGGTCAAGGAACTGAAAGGAAAGCGACCATTACGGAGACGTAATGCGCATTGTATATGGTCCAACTTGAATCGATGGATTGATGTGACTGCCCTACAACAAGTTGTCCTACTCGCGCGTATTCGTTCCGGCAGGGATGATCTGGACTTGGTGGTATATTCCTCGGGAGGTATTTCATTTGGTATCGTGATGATAACCAAGCTAATATTACGTTTAAGCCCCATGGAAATACGCATCCTTCAGACTCGCGACTTGACGAGAAATCATCCATGGTCTGAATGCTCACAACACTGGACTATCTCTTTTAGACACGGCTCTTACACATATGTTGTAGGCACCTTTGATGTGCGCCCCCGATAAACTCTTTGAAGGTCTTCGTATTCATTCATCATCAAATACTAATTCAATGCCTTCATCCTTTGCGGCCGCTACCGCGGCTTCTTGTCTCTCCTTGAAGTGTATTTTCAATGAATTAAGAATGTCACGTTGTCCTAGCAAACGACATCAGAAAATCCCGCAACGACTTTCCCGATGGCCCACCTTCTAGGTAATGTTTGAGCATCAGTCTCACCGCTGGGCGTATGGCAGCGGCGTTCTCATCCAGGAGATCGGGAAGTACATCGTACTTCTTCTGAACCATTTCCAACAACAACTGTGCTGCTTCTAAATCGTCTTCATACCCTATCTCCTCTGGGGTTTCAGCCACCAATTGCCTCACTTCATTCCAAAGTCCTTCCGCACCGCTTGCGAGACGGCCGATCGCCCACTTGTGAGGGGACCCACCTAGCTGTAGCGTAATTTTATCATCCGGATTTTGTGGGAGCGAGAAGCCATATCCGAGAATCAGCTCATCGTTCGCTTTGAGCCCATAGTTGTTGAAGACTTCTTCACCAACAGGCGTCGTGGTATGTGAAATGATGGAAATAGTGGCCGACCCATCTCTTTCCTCCGTACTTCCTTCCGGATATGATGTGCACCAAGAAACAGGCTGTCCACGAGAATGGTTGAGGATATCCACGCCCGGAAGCATGAATGGATAAGTCGAGGGGGTGGTCTGTAGCGTAGGAGATCGAGATAGAAGCGTGGATGGAAATGCGCGGGTTGAAAGATAGGTTGATGCTCTTAGATATTTGTCCCTGATCTGGTTTGAGGGGCGTATGCGAAGAAGAAAAAACACGGGAGACGCATACCAGGTGTATCTTTCAGCCCAATCCGGATCAATTGCGTGGATAAAGGTTTGACATTTATTCCACTCAGCATTCCAGCTTTCCTGACGATCACGGGTAGCGCCGTAGATATTAGTTCCTCGGAAAGCCTCGAGTTCGGATGGTGTAAATTGAAGGGGCGTCAGCAGTGTGTCCGCAGGTGGGAGGCTTTTCAAGTAAGGAAGGTGTCGAAGAACATCAGGAGTTTGGCTGTCATGTATGATACTCATATACGCACAGAGACAGTCAAAATCAGTTGAACGCACCTTTCGGGGAAGATCCAGTGTAAGCATATGTAAGTACAAATAAGCTGCCTTTCCGACCACGACCGCAGGCCAAGGAGAGTCGGTTCGCCAAATAGCGCTGTAAGAGCATGCAGAGAACACTCCACGTCGATGGCCAGCGAAAATGGGCAAGATACGATCGTAGTGTCAGCATCGATAGTGTCTTGCGCGATGGCAGAGAGTCCAAATTTGCCTGACGGTAAAAGTAAACGGCGGAAAGGATATAAAATGTCTACGTGTTAGATCGAGCACCTTGAGACAAAGATACGGACGGGTGAATAAAACCACCATAGGTGGTGAACCATTGTCTGAGCTCGGCAGTGCTGCTCACAGTGGGCTCCATGGTTGATTTGAATGATCTGATAAACTTATGTAATCAACGATGAGCGAGCGGTTGCCGGCGGCCCGAAGTACTTCAATCTCATCATCTTCGGACTTGCTTGGCCTTACTGCCATTCTGGCCGCTGTGCATAGCACACTACTGCCACACCATTAGTCAAGGTTATCGTCACCACCACCACTCACTAGCGCTCAAGTTCATTACATGGAAAATCGATTTGTTGTTGGTATGCAGGCAAGAGCATATACCATGGCGAGCTTATCTACAGTCAATAGACCGGTACCAAGGGTTTTGTAGCTGGAGGTGCGAAGGGTAAAGACGTTGCCGAGATGGTCAAGGAGTCTCTCGAAAAGTGGCCTGCTACTGCTTGCTGTTTCGTTAAATGACTGGCTAGCCAGCAGATAGGTAACATAACTCATACTCCCCCTCAATAGTGTGGATATTGAGGATGCACGAGGACACCTCGCAACGAACGGCCGTCTTGTCTTCCCTGATGATTGAAAATAAACTAACCGATATGACACTTGGGCGTCAACTGCACAGCCCATGGTGTATAAGCTGTGAAGGGAACACAAGGATGAGGCATATTAGTAAGACGTATCAGGAGGCAGTGAATTCAACTCTGAGTTGACAGAAACGTTCATTGTGCCCCGCTATCCACCTGTCATTCAAGTTGTCTTAGTAAGTAATGATTTTGGAATTTCATCAATGAAAAGCTGAAATGACGCTACACTCGGTACTAGGAATTCTCAAACTAGAGCATGTCTTCACCCACTAAAACAAAAGAGACGTTAGTGATAACACCCTGCCAAAAATTTGAAGGACACACCGAATGGGTCTCGGATGTCATACACCTATCAGGTGGACAGCGGATCATTACTTGTTCATTGGATGGCTCGCTCCGAGTGTGGAACTTGGAAAGTGGAAAACAGTTAGGAGCAGACTGGCGGCACGGAGACAGTGAAGTATGGACCATAGCGCTGTCTCCCGACGGAAAGAAAATAGTTGGTGGGGTGTTAGCATTATCCTCGATGACATGGATGACACGAGAACGAACTAATGAGCTTCCCGCCCTGTTCACACCAGAGGGCTTCCGAACAGGACAGGGCGAATATGCGCTCACAAGCATCCTCTGCGCGAGTGTGCATGAGCAGGTCAAGGTTGATGGACTTGAGTAAGGAATCATCCATGGCGACGCTCGTCATGGCAACCAATTATATTCAATCTGATGCAACTCGAAACTTGCGCTATCATGGGCTTTGCTACCGAGGTCAGCTTGTCGTAACGCCAGAACACTGCAAAAATCACGATTGAGTGGTGCAGCGTAATGTAAGTCGCGTGTTCTCACTCACCACCGTCGTCATTTTCGAAACTCTTTGTGAGAGTCTCGACTATTGACAACCATAGAGGCGGATTTTGAATTGACCCTACGGCCCACCTCGCTGATGAACCTGATCATTCATCCATAATCCTCAACAATTGCTTCTGTCGCTCTGTAGGAGTGCGGTTAGTTCGACGAAAATGACAGGCATTGCTCCAGATTATTCACCACATCTAACACGGATCGAGGCAGTGCATTCACCGTCAATTACCCATGGTGACTTGAGTGGCGTGCATACACAATTATGAGTTGTGTAAAAGCACAACTGAAGCTTGTTTAGAATAATGTTCTCGTTGATAAAGATGGAAAAGCAAGTCTCGCCGATTTTGGTCTTTCTGCTCTCGTTCCTGAGAGAAGAAGTCAAGCATTAGTGCCAACCTATTGCGGAGGAACTGCACCCTACATGGCCCCAGAATGCTTGGCGCTCGACGATGAAGGCAATGAGTCGGCGCCGGTATTCTCTCCGAAAAGTGATGTATACTCTTTCATAGGGATCATGCTACTGGCACGTAACCTGGATTATCAATATTGAATCAGCTCACATCTCTGCAGGTATTGAAGGGCAAGGTCCCATACCACTACATCCGCAATCATAATTAACAACATATCACGCGGAACAAGCCCCAGAAGGCCGCCCGGGTCTGTTGTCGAGGACAGCGACTGGAATTTCATCCAGAGTTGTTGGTTTAAAGATATGGAACGTCAGCCCTCTGACGAAGACATTCTAGAATTTGTGGAAGAAAGGGCTGCCTGGACACGATGTCTGGAATCAAGTGACGATCGATTCTACCACTTATCAACTAAATAAACCTCCAAGATTGGTATTGTGTTTGTTCTGTACAGAGTGAAGCAAAATCATAGTCAACGAAAGCTACTAAACATTACAGCGAAGTTTCTCTTGAGGTATGGCACTGACTGTCTTTTCACAAGCGGCCAAGACCATATTTCGGCACATCACATCGATGGCACACCTCCTTCCAACTTGCGCAACACCGTCACAGTCCATGGAGATGCACATCTTCATGATTCTTGCAGCACCATCAAAAAGAGCACCGTTGAGCATAGATACAAGCCCGTCTTTCGGTCCGCCTGTGCTAACGCAAGAGTTGAGTATGTGGCATAGATACCATGTCGCATCTTTCCGCACTAGGGACTCGAGCCTATCCTTTCTATCGAGCACAGTTCTCCGTTTGTGTAGATTCGACGCCTGCGATGATTCCGGGCCACAAGACGCTTCCTCTGAAGTTGCATTGCTGCCAATAGTCCCGTCGGTAGTTGTTGTAGAGAGCAAAGACTCTAGCGCCCGAATCGACTCCAGTGCTATGCGCTCCCTGATGCCATCTGTATACCCAGAGTGGCGGGGTGATATCGAGTCTAACGTATTCAGCGCCTCGCCGAGAAGAGTCAAAAGGTCCATACGAGGGTCGGGAACGAGTGTTTGGCTGGGAGGTTTCGATACCTTTTCGCTTCCCTTGCGGCCTTTCGAAGATTTTTTAACCAAGCTTGCGTCTAGATGGTGCATAATGTATGCCCGGGATACGGGAGTGAAACTGCATACAATAGGAACAAACAAGGTGTCGACGAGGCGGGATACAGCGGTGCTGCTGGAATTGCTGATGTCTTGGTGGAAGAGGGCTGGAAGAGCGACACGCAAGAGATGGACCAGGAGTGGGGAGGCCATTGCAATTCTCGTCTCGTTGAGTTCCATTGGCACAGAAGATGTCAAAATATTTTGGAGGTCTAGGAATTTACCGATGGCGTTAATTGTACGAGTGATCGCAGCTAGCAGGCCCGAGTTGCCTAGTGGTCCGTCACCTGTCTGCGAACTTACTGAGTTGAGAACACTTTGGAGGGAGGTGAACGCTCCGGTGAGGGATGATGATAATTGGCCTGTCGCATTGAGACGTTCTTCCACTAGTCATGAGTCAAGGAAAACGAGGCGAATATATGAGATTCGTACCTCCCCGTTTTGCAGGCCAGTCATTGTCCCGAAGTTGAAGTTCCTGAGTTTTGCCCACCTTCTTCGTTTTTTTCTTTGAGGGAACAACGTCCGAGTCGTCTGGCAAGTCCTTAGTCGCGTTTTGCCGCAGATGCACGAGTTCTAAAAGATGATAGTAAGGTTTAGAAGGAACAATATTCGAAGACTCGAACGCACCTGCTTCATCCTCTTCCCGCTTTTGTTTCAAGGACTCAAGTTCTCTTTCTAGTGAGAGCGCATGATTCCTCCATGCATGCCCATCAGACGTTTTCTGGCTATCGTCGGAAAAAGAAAAATGCGACTGAAGATCGAGGAGATAGCCTGCTTAACCATGTCATAAAAGTCTGTGAACGAGTCTCAAAGCAACCAACTTGGAATGGACTGGTCCTTCGGCTTGTGTTTCAAGACGGTGATGGCCTGAGGAGGAAACAAGTAATGAGCTACTTGAACACTGACTTTGAGATGCTGACTGTACGATGGCAAGGCGGACTGAAATCTGGGGTAAGACCGACATGTCTGAATTCACTTGTATCAGAGATTCGAAGCTGATCACAAAATATTGCCTATTGGATCTAAGAGTTCCCACGATTACGGTGACTTAGGCTATGTCTCCTTTGTTGCGCAAGTTAACTCACACCTAGGGATCATCTTCAGTGAGGCCAATCCAATTGCTGTCGAGGAGATCTACTACGGACAGCTCACGTCCTCCAAAGCACGGTGTCACACAGCTGTCTCCTCGATGAATCATCTTGGTACACTGTCGTTTCTAGCATCTCCTTCACTGTATTTGTGTTACCTTTGAAGTACTGTTGCGAGAGACTCATGTTCTTATGATGACGCCACTCGACTTGCTGGTCGTATGAAACAGGCTGCTCACGAGCCTAGGCTTCAGGGGTGATGAAGTAGTGGAACAATTTACAAGTGTCGCGTTCTGTAAACGCACTAGGCTGTGTACATGCAATGTATCATGTGGCCATCAACTCGCCAGCCTAATAAAAATCGACAAGTAGAGTGCCAGTAGATTTATGAAGAAGGAATGTCAATACCATGAACCGTGCTTCAGATTGAAGCGCTCGGAGGGCACAATTTATCCGCGACTTCCTGCAAAAGCGCCCAAGCAGCTTCCTCCATATTCCAATTCCTGCGGTTTTCTCTGAACTTATTCTTCAGGGTGCTTTGAGCGTGTAAGGCTCCGAGAAGTTGCAGCAAGTGATCGATGAAAGGGGAAAAGCGCACAATAAGTCCCAATGCTGCGACTTGGCGGCAGACTGTCGCAAAAGTTACAAATCAGACATCAAAACATGGATGAAGGGGAACAAAGCATACCTATGCCACCATCGCTCTCGTTTCTGATAGCCGCAAGAACTACACATGCGATTGACGCTTCCCATTCTGCGTTCAGCAGGGTCATACATATTTCCATCTCCGAATGATCAGCTCCTTCTTCGTCGCCCTTGCATAAGTTCTCTGCTCGAAGCTCTTGCAGATGCGCAAAGATGTTAAAAGTCAAGCTCGAAGCACTTCTCCGAATTTCAGTATCTTGATGAACTAAAGTATGTTCCAGCAGGGTAGCGAGATTGTTTTGCGCTGACAGGAGAATCTTCCGTCCCAAGGCCCTGTTGTTAAATGCGTTGGAAAGCATACGAAGGAGTGTCAATAGATAGTTTCTTGAAGACCCTTCGCACGCCTTAGACAAAAGTAGCACAAGGGGGCTGTCGAGACCATTCCGATCGGCACACCAAGAGGAGACTTTTTTGTCGAGGAGCACTATTCGCCATAAATCCACCAGTGGAAATAGTTGGTCTTCTGGCATATTCCATGACATAGAGCTCGTGACGTCGTGCCAAAAATCGAAAAGAGGGTGTAGAGGCAAGCATTGCGAGGTGGTGAACGCCGCCGTGACGTACGGAATCACGGTCCCAAAAAGCATTCCCATGGTGTCAACTTTGGATAAGGAGGTATCGAGAGGCAGGAACCAAGTTGTAGCGGAATCAAGGAAACTCGTCAGTTTCTCTGATATAGCAGCGAGATTGGGGACCCGATTGAATAGAATGGGCTTAAGGCCCAGCTTTTCCAAAGCCGGAAGGGATAACGGTATGTGTGGATGAACTATGGCATGCATGGCGAATGATGTTAGCTAGAATGTGATATAGCAAGTTGAATTCAGCAAACCTGGGTGTAAAAACATTGAAAGCCGCATTCGTAGTTCTTGAACGTCGTAGCCTTGTATTTCAAATACCTGCGACATGAAATAAGTCATCAATTGGAATGAAACTTGGGAAAAGCCGAACCTTCATTCCTCCTACAAAAAACATAAATGTTGGGGTAGCACGGACATCAAACTTGATGCCAATTGCCGCTGCATCACGCAAAGCATTGAGATCCACTTGCACAAATGCGACAGGGCTACTAGTCGAGTTTTTGTCGTGCGCAAATTCTTCAAACAATAATTGTGCCTTGCGACTCAGGTGGCATATTTCTGTGGTGAACAACACAAGAACACCGCGGTTCTCTTGCAGAAGAAAATGGAAAGGTTCAAGAGATTCACAAGAATGGATACATTTCACGGTGGCTGTGAGGGTGGTGGTTAATGATGGTTGATGATGACGGTTTTTAAGACGCAGGAATGGTCGTGCAGCAGTTTGCAATTGGCGTAAACATCTAGGATGCATTGATGTACGCTGATTATTGGTGGGCCCGCCTTTTTGAAGATCGACACTGATGCTATATATTAATACGAGAGAGAATCAGAATAAAGATATCCTTACCGAACAAAAAGTGTCCTCAGAAAGGTAGAAGTCAACTTGCTGCGTTCTATAAACAATGCGAGCGTCTTAGCGGACTTCATAAGCAGGGTCTTTTCGTGGAGCGAAACTGCCTTTGACCTCACAGGCCGACTACTAGTAACTCTGGCAAGGATCCCCGAGGACCTCACTGGAAGTTCTTCAAGCATCGTCGTGAGAACGGTTTCTCGTGGTTTGTATGTTGCGAGGTATTTTATGAATAATCGGCAAGCACGGCAGCTGTCGTCTAAATTGATGGCCCTGTTGAAGTCGAAGGCAATAAGGTGTTCGACATTGACATCTTCGACCTCAACAAGAGCTTGACATCGTTCTATGGGACCAGAGAGCTCTCCGTAGTACATGTTCCTGATCGTAACCAGAAACCCTGCATCAGGGTTTGGCACTTTGTGGCTCAAGTACAGTCGCACGGGCGTCAACATGGTGAAACAATTTCCCTCGTAATGAGTGATTGAATGCACGCAGAGCGCATCCGCGTCCGTGGTCGCAGAAGGATAAAGAGCTTTCACCCTGTTAGCGTCGAGGCCCTGCGGGAAAAAGGCGATGATCTCGAGAAGCTTTCGAGCATCATCGCCAAGGGCGATCACAGACGGAGCATTCAAAGAGAGTTCGATTGTGGCACGGAGGCTGTGAGATGTTCCTTCGCCGTTCTCCAGTAGCGCTACTGGGTTTTTTTTCCATGCGGAGAGTAGTTCTGCCCCAGTCCATTCATGTTGAGCCGCCTGACGAGCAATGATATTGACTGATAACGGATGATTGTCGACACCGTCCAATAATTCTTCGATTATTGCCGTAGAAATGTGTTGCTGGCATACGCACTCGAAGGCCTTCCTCGCATACTTGTGTTCTAATGTTGAAACGTTCACAGCGGTAGAGTAAGGTGCAGTGTGTTTATTTCGGGTCGTCAACAAGAGGACCACAGAGGATGATGATGCGAGGTCGTGAATGATACGGGCCACGGAGCCTGCGTTTCGATTTGCAGTAAGAGCGTCTGCATGGTCGATGACCAGGAATGTATCTGCGCCTGTTAGAAATTCCGTCACTTCTTCCCACCGTTCACTGAGGCGCCAGTCCAACCCGGCGGCTCTGCAAATCCGCTCCTTGACTATTCCTGTAGATATCCGAGAGGCATCGAGTTCATCGAATGATACAAAGTAACGACGGCCTTGAAACCTCTCAGCTATGACTGAGTCGTGGATGGTAGCTTTTGCGAGGGAGGTCTTGCCGATACCTCCTGGGCCAAAAAGTGTGACATGATGCCGATTGAGAAGTAGTTCCATAACATGGGCAATGAGATGATCTCTACCAAAGAAAGGGGAAGGTAGACTCGGGAGGACGACGCGCCAGTCTTCATATGCGGTGGATATGCCCAGTCTATTCATCTGTCTGATCTGTTGATCTACTCTGCGCTGCGTTATTATGCTCAGGTGCGTCTTTAGAAAACGATCAGTTCAGCGGTAACTTGGAAGGAAATGATAGCTTACGTTAATTAGCAACACGCGCCTGTCCAATTCCTGCACCCAAGATGTTATTTTGTTTTTGTCGGACAGCGCGGAAAGGGCTCTCTGAGCGACGTTGCGCTTACTCGCAGACACAACTTCATTATAAATGCTTTGGACACAGCTACTCCGAGTCTGGTGTCACGCGATGCCTGATGTATCTGAATGAAGAACCCACCTTTCAAGATTGATAATGATATCATTGAGTTCACTGTTTGAGTCACTATCAGTCTGACCTTCCGTGGTCTTTACGACAACATCATAAATCATTTGGCAATGTTGCATCAATCCACGGAAATTGTCCTCATTCTGCAGGGTATTCTATCCAAAAATATCAGAACAACATCTGAAATGGTCCAAGAATGACTTACTCTTATGATAGCCAAAATGTTCGAAACTGTAGAAAGAATGCTTTGCACGATGACACTGGGCACGACAGCCTTCGCAGTATCAATCGCTGCTATCGTCCCACTTAGCAGTGCCGTGCATCGATCATTATCGCCGTTCTTGAAAGGTGTCTGTCGTTTAAACTTTGATTATGGATGCCGTTGATGTTATAGACGTCTCACCTTCATTTGGGGTCAAACTAGGTCGTTCTGCCAGTGGGAGCCTATAAGATACCAGCTGAGGACACAATTACTGTTAACGGTCATGATCTTATGTACATAGCACAATATCGCCACCAGTCAATAACAGCTGATAGGATAGGGTCTGTCTATAGGTCTGCGACAATCGGATCTTAGAGACACGAGGCAACCGTAGACTCGGTTGCGCATTCACACAGGATGAGATAGGAACCAGTGTGGCCTAAATTGTACCACCAGCACAACCGGCCCATAGTGGGGTGGATTGCTGCCTGAGAGTGTTATAGAGGGCTATGTGACAGAGTGCTACAGGGCGGCACTAGTAAGTAGTAGCAGATAAGTTTGCACCTGCTATGGTGCAGTTCACCTATGCGCCGCTACTTTGGGGCAACCGCCAAATCGAGGGCCAAAATTTCCAACTCTAATCCCGTTGCTAAAAATGGTAGGTGCGGCAGCGACCACAGCTTCGCTGAACAGTGTACGAAGCACTAGAGTGCCGTCTCTATAGGGAGCTTAATTGTACGAATTTTTTGCTCAATGAAAATTCTACAAGGAAACAAGCAAAAATAAGCAATTTTTCGAAATTTCCCATTTTGTTTCAAATTTTTCCGTCGGAAAAAATTTACCCATGCTCCATATCCCCTGTTCATCTCCCCGAAACCCTGTTCATATTACCTCATTGTGAACTGAACCCCATCGAGATGCTTTGGGGATATGCCAAGTACCGTCAGTTTTTCTCGGTTTACTGTCGTGATTTTGACTCATTGATATTCCCGCGTGGTACAGGCTATCGAAATGTCACTGATGGGAAATTCTCGACGGCAAAAACACTGGTTCCGCAATGTCTCGACATGTGTGATGTTTTGACTATTCGCCGTTTTTTCCGCAAAGCTTGGCGTTATATGGATGCCTACCGGTACGTTTATCGATGCTTTCGAGTGGTCATGTGGCAGCGCTGAAGTTTGAACAGGAAAGGACTCGATGCTCACCAAGCAGCCTTCGCAGTTAAGAAGTACCGTTCCCACCGTCGTGTTGGGCTCATGACAGAGATTTTGGCCTCACTGGATGCCGAAACTGCAAGCAGAGGGCTTCTGTAGATTGTATTTACCATCTGCTTGCTTGTATACCTGCTCAGTTACCCATAAATACCATTTCTTGCAACATGTTTCAAATTTCGTCGGAAATTTTTTCAACCCTTCGATTTTCAATATTCGAACGAGGTAGCCTTAATCTACAAGTCAAAAGAATGCATTTGCGCTACTCTACGGTACAAAGCAGTCAAATTTCGAGGACTAGATACATTTTGAGTTCGGGCTAATCCGAGAGGTCGGAAAAGTGCTTCGTACACTGTAGTGTACAAGGTGTCCGGATTGCGAGTCGCGACAGACAAGTGTAGTACTATGTACATGCTAAAGTTAATTATTTCAACCTTTGAACAATGGCTCGCAAGTACCACAAATTGGCAGCTGCTCGCGCGAGACTCGCCCGACAAATTCAAGTGAATCCTGCTACTGTGCGGGAGCCTGACAACGACAACGACAACGTGACGACGACGACAATAACTTCGATTGCGGGTTTTACTGGCGGTGTTCACTGCTCGTTGCCTGAGCCCGACAGTGACTCAGAATTTGAGATCGATTGGGACTCAGAATCAGATAGCGGAGAGAGTGTTGTTGAGCTGGCGGGTGAAGAGCTTGAAAGTAGTTTGGCACAGTTGAGAGACGAGGTTACCTCACTGGCAGAACCCACACCTTATCAGAAGGTGGCTGGACCCAAGACAGGCGAGAACTGGAAGAAAGCTGAGAGAAGCTGAGGATTAGGATATGATGGACACTCCAAGCGCACCCAGGAGCGCCGACTGCATGATGCTCGTGCTCGAGAGGATTTTCGTGAATATGCAAAGACAAGGTGAGCAGGACTCTTCAGTAAACAACCACATCAGATCAGAACACTTACTGGTGTGGCTGTTCAGTACCGATCCACAAATCAGCATGATGCGTGCATTTACACAAAAGGGTGCTGCACAAAAGCCAGTGATAGCACCAGTGCACAATCAGGCAGCGTGCCCCGCAGCCATGCAATATGTTCCAAGCTTGCTGGGCTTCCTTTCTGATTTCTCAAGTGATGAAGATGACGGGGATAGCAACACCAACATGGATCACAGTGACGATCATGATGGCACCAGTCGTGTTTCCTCGGCACTACCTCGGAAACGCCAAAAACTCGAGGTTCCATATCGTGAGCAGCGAAAACAAAAGCAAGCTGACCTGGAGCACGCGTACAAAGATATCACGAAGCATTTGAAGTCAAAAAAGACGGTGTTTGCTGGGGGTCCACGTGGTTTACAGGCACGTGGTGCATGTACTATCGAGGTTCACTTAATGCTTGTGGTCAAGAACAAGCATAGTTTCAAGGTGGCCTCCGAAATGGCTGCAGAGACCAACGGGTTTGCTGCAAAGTGGGGAGGACGCCAGGTTCGTGGGTGGACTCATGAGTGGATGCGAACAAGAATGCTTCCAGTTTCACAATGGGGACGGCATGCCAAGATTTCGTCACTCCTTGATGACCCTGCGATCGCATCCGAGCTCCGCACATTCATGCGCTCAAACAAATGGTCAATTGACCTCTCAGAAGCTGGCGAAATTCACCAATAACGAACTTCTCCATACCGAAGCAACGAAATATCTCGAGGGGCTTGTGCAGACTGAAATGCCCCAGGGGCTGAAGAGATACATCGAGCTTGAGCTCTTTCCTCGTATTCACATGAAGGTTGGGCATGGGGTATCATTGAGCACAGCCCGTCGCTGGCTCCGTCTTGAAGGATTTCGGTTCATGGCATACAAGAAAGGGCTGTATTTTGACGGCCACGATCGACCAGATGTTGTTGAATATCGACAAAATGTCTTTCTTCCTGCAATGATGGAACACGAGCGTCGTCTTGTTCGATATGTTGTTGGAGATGTCGAGAAGGAGTCTGATATCCCTCCTTCCAATTTTGTCGAAACACAGCTCGTCATTTGTGCACATGACGAGATGACCACTCAAGCAAACGATGGACAGTCAATGAGCTGGGTGCTGGATGGCAAGCACAAGCTGAGAAAGAAAGGAGTGGGTCGAGGATTGCATCAGAGTAGTATCATTTGCTCGACTGTTGGACATCTCGAGGAAGCAGCACACACCATTGAGTATGGCAAAAATTACGACAGATACTGGAATGGGGAAATGTTTGTTGCGCAGGTGGGTGTTGTTGTTCAGATATCATGCATGAAACTGAAAATAGGGGAAGCTCCGCAACAAAATAATTCCAGCATTCGAACGTGCTCACAGGACCTGGTTACCAGGCATTGTTCCTCATCGATAATTCTCAGGGACACTCAGCATATGCCGACGATGCGTTGCTGATCTCGCGCATGAATATAAATCCGGGGGGCAAGCAGGCACAGATGAAAGATGGTTGGTTCATTGATGCTGGTGGGCAAAAAGTTATTCAGCCCATGATGTTTCCCTCCGATCACCATGATCACCCAAACGAACCGAAGGGCATCAGGGCTGTTCTCCAGGAACTGTGGTCTTTTGCAGGGGAGACATCGAGGCAGGTGCCAATCAAAGTGTCCTGACGAGGCGACAAACTGCTGCCTCAAATGAATTCTCGAACTTCAACCAGATTTCGCCGAGCAGAAACCACTTGTGCAAGATGTCATTGAGGCTGCTGGTCACTTGTGCATCTTCTTGCCAAAATACCACTGCGAGCTCAATTTTATCGAGTTTTTTTGGGGGGCAGTAAAGAGGTATCTGCGTGAGAACTGCGATTACACCTTCGAAACGCTCAAGACCAACTTGCCGAAGGCTATGGCTTCCGTACGTCTCAGTACAATCCGTTTATGGGAACATCGGATGCACAGGTGGATGAGTGCTTACCGGTCGGGTCTGGAGATGAAAACAGCACAGTTGCAGGTCAAGGAGTTCAGTTCAAGGAAGTACAAATCTCATAGATGTGTACCGGAGACTCTTGCATGTCTTTTCGACTGATTTTACCGGTACCGTAGCCCTCACCGCCAATTTGGGTCTTGTCCAAAAATTTTTCTTGCTCAAATTTAACGCTATGCGAAATCGGTCTTGACAATATGTTTCTATCAGTAAGCTAAGCATTTTTGCAAGATGGAAAAATCCTAGGACTTTTTTTCACGACGCTGGAAATTTTGCACTAAAGTAGCGGCGCATAGGTGAACTGCACCATAGAATTAAGTTCAACTTGACATCCGTCGGACCGTCACGCGTCACGAACCCAATCAGTGGCGTCATCAGACGTCCAGCTCCAAAAGAGAGTAGCTCCAACTTGGGTTCAAGGTGGTATATAGCAGCGACAAACAGGTTCTTGTCGTCAGTAGATACAGGTACTAGGGGATTCCAAATATAGATGTCAATTTCATAAAAGCAACATGGTATAGTACAAGACAAATCAATGCGTTGAACACATTGTCCAAAATCACTACTAGGAGAACCTCTGCAACAAATGTTGCATGCAAAAATTCAGTATATGCGATGTCCAGTCGGTATATAGTAAGTTCATCAATCTTTCCATCCATCCGTGAAAGCCGTGATTCCTAGTTGCGGCGGAAGCGTGAGAGGAACCCACCCTTGACGCCGTTCAACTGGTATGAGTTATTAGTGGCACCTGCCATTCTGTCACGACGACGGCCAAAGCACACAGTGCATCCAGCCAAGAGAAGCAGAATCAGTGATACAAATGTGAGCCAAAAACCTGTCATAGTGTTGAGACTAGTAGTGAGCTCAGAAAAAGGGAAACCAACCAGGCCCAGTGATGGTCGTCTCGCTGATATTAAGCATACCCAATTCATTCTTGACATAGGCAAAGAGAGCGATATTGATGGCAAATGCGATAAGGGTAATTAGAGCCGCGAGGAACGATACTAGAGAAGCCACCAGGGTGACCGTGATGTGCTGGGAAATTGATAGAAGAAGTGCAACAAATGCAACACAGGCAGCTAAGGGAGAGGCGAAATCAGATTGCAACCGTTTTGTGTATAGAGTACGACTGACCAACGGGAAGAGTAGCGAGACCGCGTGTCCATGAAGGACCTATAGTAACTTGGGCATTCTGTGAATTCGTGACAGTGACCGAGTATCCGTGACCTGTCATTCGATAAGTATAGGATTGTAGCAATACGAGTAAATAGGTTCACCAGTGTTGAAACATGTGCGGCCCGAAGACAGGTCAACACAGTAACCCCTGAAGATATTTTAGATGTGATATCCCGTATAGCGGTATATATTTACCAAATACCGAGCTAGGTGTGAGGAAGCATGAGCTCGGGCTCTCAACTCAACTAAACTGCTACTCACTCTAAGTTGCGTGAATGATTCGTTACTATTACTTACGACCTGCCCACTAGAGTGCACACGAGTAATGTCCATCGCCTGAAAACTCGGGAGAGAAATTGAGACGATGAAAAGGAGGAACCAGGCAGAGAAGAGGAAGAAAACGGCTGGGATACAGTATGTTCTCGACATCTTCGCCAGTTTGATTGGTTGGTGTGCTACGAATGAGCGAGCGTCAGAGAGGAAAATTAAGTGGCGTTGTGTGGAGGTAGAAGCGAACGCTAAGGTTAACTTTTATGCCAATCCAAGACGGCCCCGTCAGGTGAGCGCGCCATGCAGCACTGCCACGGTGCCACATTTTTTATAACGTCATGATGACCCGCGGACGTTTTCTCCAGATCATCGATCATCGGCCGATTCGAAGACCGCATTGTGCTGACACACAATAAGCAGCGGTGATGGGGGGGACATGACCGCGTCTGTTCTCACCATGACTCGGAATCGGATAAATAGGTTGGTAGTTATCGATATCATCCATTCTTCCCTCTCACTTGTTTTTTTACCATCTACGTTTCAAACTACTGATTTTATTTCAGTTCAGACTGACCATCTGCATCGATGTACAGTGCACTGATATCAGGCTGCGTTCATAACCAACAAACATTCGCAGGCCTTATCATTCGATTCGCCTAGCAACACAATCATGGTCTCTCCGATTCTAGCCAGCAATGGTCAGCCGCACAGCCTGAGGGAGACAAGCACACATACCTCTCCGAACCATTTCAACGCACTCACAACTGCGTGCATCCTTTTCGAAGATATACAGACTCTCGAGCGACTTCGTGACGAGATACAACATCGTGTGGAAGCTAAAAGACAGAAGCTGCACTTTCTGGAGGCATCCACTCCGAATCGGAGGCTTCGAGATGCTTTATCGGAGTCCATCATCATACAGCAACAGATCCACGCCACTCCCACTTTCACATGTAGCAGTCATTCCCCGTCACCTCGCCTTCGTGGCTTATACGACGTTCATGGTCCCGGATGTGCCAACCAGGACTCTCTACAGACTCCAGCTGACTTCTCCTCGCTGAGTCTCGTCGATCTTTCAATCTACGGCGACGATCATGAAATCGTTTTCGAAGACGACGACGAAGCTTTGTTGTGTCCGTCTGCCAACGAAGCTGTCGGGGATTATGTGGGAAGCGGAGATGGCTTTAAAGAATACTGTGACCAGCTCGACGGCCTCACCTCACCTTTCCACCTGGTTCATTCCTCGTCTGGGATCATCTTCAAAGCCCAAGGTTGTCCACTAGTCCCGATTCCACTAACAAGATACTGATTATGTTTGCTAGAACCTGATCGGGATTCCCCACCGATAAGGCAAAAATCGCACAGGTACCGATCCATCGCTCATGGCAAGAAGTCCTTATCAGATGTGAAGGGCAAAGGGGTCGTTCGCCGCGGATCTTCTAAACGCAGCAACATCGGCCAATCCAGGGCAAAGAGGGCTTTGCGCAAGATTTTACACCATAAGAAACTAGGCGTGGGCGCCATCAAATTTCATGCGTAGGTGCTCAGTCATGACTCGTATGTTTCTTCATTTCCCCCGGTGCTTGTTTGCATCCATATGTTATCATGATGTTCAATTTTCGACGAAACAGTATGATCTAACGCTGCAGTCGTTTAGAACTTAATTTTTCTCTCGCTCACCGCTCCTAGTCTTAGCCACATTGATCGTTTTTCAACTTTTACTTGGGAAATTGCTTGAGCTCATTCTGCCCGGGTCAGTTGTAGAAACCACTGACACGGGTAGAATGTTCTCTCGTTCACCGCTCCGAAAAATCGCTCGAGTTCATTCTACCTGGGTCAGTTGTAGAAACCACAGACACGGGTAAAATGAGTCCGAGCACCCTTTGAGCCTGGTGACTTCCGTGGCACAGCACGAGACCCTGATCTGGGTCGCTTCCTACCTTAATCAGCAGTTGTAGCATGCCTCTCGTCATCTTCAATGGATTATGTTCATTGGAGCTTTGTTTACATGTATTTGCGTGTATATGTCTGTGATTTTGAAGTCTAAGTTGACGTGATTTTCCTCGCCGTTTTGCCTTTTGCAGTCGATCCCTGCGCTCAGCAGGCCAACCGTTCTGATTCTGACGGGGTTCGACACTTGCAGAGGCAGAATGTCGGTGCAAAACGGCATGTCGCGAATTCAAATTATCATCTGCGCCTTCGAAAGATTCAGAGTTTCTGACCATCCGAAGAGAAGCAAGATATGATTAAGGAACAGCCTCATCACACGAGGCCAGATATCTAGCTCAGGCTGTTTGTGCATTTAGGGTGTATTCGCGAAATGATCAAGAAGGTTGCAAAAACTTCGAAGGGCACTGGACTGATACTTGTAGGTTTTGCTATTGGTGGGTTGGTTAAATGGGCTGAGTTAACACTACTGTATACAGATGGACTCTTCGTTCGAACGTACTATAGTAAGTAATTACTTACATCAAACTCATGATGCTGGCTTTGAATTTTGCACCGGTTCTCTAGTATCTAAGGTTTATGACGATAATAAAAGTCATCAAACCCTGGCAATCCCCAACCTCGATACTCCATCAATAGCACAAATCCCATCCCGCCTCATGACATCAGATTACTTACCTCGCACAACCAATTTTGATACCCACATGCGAATGGGACATCCTAGTGAGTCTCCGCCCTCCGCATCGTCATCGGCTGACACCCTGGATTTCAGTTGTCTTTTCGTTGATCATCTTCTGCAGTATCATCGTGGTATGTGCACGTATCATTATCTCATCGACAGTGACATAGTGACCTCCTATGGTAGCTTTCAATCTCTGCGTGGCTCACCTCGTGTTTTACTGCGTACGACAACTACTTCAGTATAGCTGAACGAGACCGCACTCGGTTTCTATTGTTCACTTCAGCATGGACGATCGTATTCTCCAGTCTCTACATGCTTTTCTTCTTTTGTCTTCCGGGCAGTGTTTTGGGTAGCGTGGCATCTCATATCTTCTTGTACGTAGAATCTCTTCGACACAGATGGTCGGACTTGCTGATAAACTTGTCATAGCCTGTTTTTAACATTTGTTTTCTGGACTGCGGGCGCTACAAGTATAACTATACTTCTCGGTGAAGAGCTGAATAGAAAGTTGGTAACATCTTCTTACTACTTACCGCTCACCTCCTATCTTTTTAGTACCCAGGGCCATATCCTTTATCTTGATCAACTTAACGCACTACAAGGCTTTTCTTGGGTTACTGAGTATGTGTCGTTGATATACGTCCATGGCTTCCTTGTTTATATTCTGGCTAGGGCTCTTGTGACTTTTGCATTAGTAGCTGTGCTCATCTGTGGCATTCTCGGTTCAGGCCATCGTGACAATCGTGACAATATCATAGTACGATTGAGCAAGGTGCCGATTCGGAGCCTGCCAGAGAGTCAACCGCCGCCGCACTACTATTAGTACGCATATAAGTGAGCGAGACGTTTCTGGTTTTGTCGTTCTATTCGAGATTCGCCATGCCCCTCATCCCTGTACCATTTCTGTTTCATTCATTCTACTTTGCCTTTCTTTCTGTCCCAGTTCGCTTCTTATCATTTTCTCTTTGCCTCAAATCCAGCTACTACTGTTACATGTCTTTGCACGTTGCATTTACTTCGCAGTGACTGTTTTCCCAGTGCGAGACCATGTAAATGGAATGGCTGGATGAAAATTAGACCTTGGTTCACAAGTAAACTGTCCTGACTCGACCTTTGAGTTTATATGAAGTAAGTTCCTTTGCATTTTCTGTCAAGTCCCTTTGACCGGAATCATCAACCTCATAACAATTTGTCACATCGCCCACCTATCACAACTGCCTTCTAGCTAACTGGTCGTGCAGTTCTCCGATTCAACGACCGTGAGGTCTCTGGCACAAATCGCAGTCCCAACGTTTTCGATTGGTTCTTTGGCCTTGATGATCAACTGAGCTACACAGGGCCAGTGTGTTGTTGATGAGTGCCACTGGCATATGTTATTGAATGATCCAGTCCTCCATCGGTTTCACCTGGTACGATTGGGCGCTGAGCAGGAAAGGAGGAAATGGATTCATTACTTGGGATGGCCCACCGTGAAGGATGCGAATCCCTAGGAAGTATCACAGAAGATTCGACTGTAACCTTACATTAATCAGACTTCTTTTTAGCTATCGTTCTAGTCTTCTATTGCAGACCACGTGACAATTACATCTGCCGCTATGTAGTATATCGATTTATTGTCACGTCAATTCTGTCGGGTTATTTTGTTGTTTGTTGACAATAGCACATGTTCTATTACTATTAGAGGAGCATCTGTGCTCGAGGTTGATAGCAACATAGGTGTGTCATATCGAGCCTCGCGAGTGTTCGGCCTAAGCTCACGCAGGCTCCTAGATCTTATTATACACATTTTACGATCTAGTGAAGAAACATAGTAACTATACAAATAGAGTCTCAACCCTTGATTTTAGCATCGCTGGTACTTTGCATCCAATATCTGTAAGCCACTAATCATACTCATCGATATCACTCTGTTAACTACATACTGAATTTGAGAATCGTGTCTATTTTCTCCCAAGTAGCATGGCAATCCCTAATGAGGATGCTCGAGCTTTCGTCCCTAACAAAGCCAAACATACTTCATGGTGAAATATTTTCCGAACTAGCCCCACAGTGTATTGCTAACATAATGCCATTCAAATAGATTTCCATCCACCTTCAAGTAACTGCATACGCGCGTTGCTACAGGCGGAAACATGTATATCCTACGATTTTATCCCGTAATGAAAAATTGCCATCGCGCTCATTGTCGATGATCGACCAGAGGCTCTCATAGTCACCATGTGCGTAATTCTGATAGAATTGATAGCAATACCTGCTTGACTTTTTATACCACCTTTAGATTGCTTGAGATGCGAAGCGTCTTTATTGGTGTTGGGCAGCTTGGACTAATAAAATACGGTCGGTCAGATCTGGACTTTAAAGGTACGCTGAGTAGTCTTATTAAGTGAGACGGTCGAAGGAGGATGCTAGCTGTTTTGTTCAGCGTCTCTGTACATACCATGCCCCATCTTTGTATTACATGCTTCAAATTCATCGTGCTGATGGTCATCGCAGGTCATTTTTATCGCGTGTTCAAGCTATGAGGTCAAGAGGTTAACGAGGAAGACGCGTGATGCATTCATTGGGCCCGCATGTATCAGCTGTACTCTATAATTGGTTGGTAATTGTATATTATACCTTTGTGATGCAAATGCAGCGACATTGGTGGCATCGATTTGATCCTAGGTGAGCAATCGGAGTATTCGCAAGAGCATTTACACTTGTATTGCCTCCGGATATGGGCAATTACTTTGTGGTTGTGGATGTGATTGTGGATGTTATGGTACGTCCACAGTAGCCCCAGCATTTAAATTCTGACATGCAGATAACCTTTACCACCAGACACACCACCACCTTACAGTATTTGCAACGTTGCATCTTCTCTATATCTACTATGAATTCGTTCAGGAACATTTTCCAAAAGTGAGTCTACCGTTCTCGTGCTCTACTCGTCGTCATCATACTAATTAATACACCTCAGGTCCAACGATGACCGGACGGCGTCGCTGAAGCACTCCAAATCAATGACATACTCACAACATACACGCTACCATGGGCCGACTGACGCAAACGTCGACTCATGCACAGACTTGCTGGACAAGTCTTCCTATTCCCCTGAACCAACTGAGCGCGTCCCTCGACGTGGTTTCAGAACGCTTTCTTTAAACTCAAAGAGCTTCAGGCCCCAAGTGCCCATAAAGCAGAGGTATGTTAATCAAGCTTCAGTAGATGTACTGCAGATCCCTAACGACCATACTTTCATTGTCAGACTGGCAGAACGTAAACATTAGTGAAGTTGTGTCCCACGTCGCCGTCCAAACTCTGGCACCAGCCCATCCCCAGTCCGACGGGCTTCACTCCAAATACGATGAGATTTTGCAGGAGCAGGACCCGACTGTACTCCGTAGAATGATCAATGATCATCCCTTGTCGCCTGTTTGCGGCGAACACTGCCCAGAACATATGCATCCCATGCATTTTGATATGGACGAGCCGCAGCTCGGGTGTCCCAAGAACACACTCCAATTCTACATCAACGAGGCATTGGCCCAAGGCCGTCCCCTGGATGTACGCGCAGGTGGCCGTTACCGCCGTATCGTTGACGCGCATGACCCGATGGACATTGTTTCGGAGACTGGATCTAATTGGGATGAGCGGAGTGGAGATTAGTGATTTTATGGACACCAAAGTTTGTTTTGTGAAGAAAAGTTTGACGCTAGTTTATCTACTCGTATATGATGCCTATGGATATGGATATGATTTATGTAACGAAGTCTATTTACCATTCGAGCGAGATCATGTTCAGTAGGACTCATCGAAGAATTTTGAAATTGATTCGATTTAGTAGCATTCACTCATACACGGACTCAAATCCTCCAACATATGTTTTCAATAGTCAACATGACCAACGTACAGCAACACGGACTATTTGCTTACGTTAGCACATATTTACCAACATGTGAACATGACCTTGCGGAGCAAGGTAACTACTATGTGCAGATCAACTCTTTGTTTTGTTAAAGCCATGTACGGTCATCTCGCAGTACCTTTTGAACTTTGGCCATTGAAATTCTGCTCACAGAGTCAGCCAATTTACTGCTAGGTCTTGTCAGGTTTTGCCTCAGTGGCAAATGAACAGGAACGTAAGTAATACGGCACTGGTGCCTTAGCGATCCGCCCACTTGCGCCAACCACATGTACTAGTACGTACAATCACTGCTGAGTGTGAATTTTGCTCCCGCTCTGTCTATAATCTCAAGGAGTTCTGTTGACGGTCGATTTTCTTACGAACCAGGTATGCCACTTGTCGCCCATCCTTCAAGTCGTTGTGACGTCTGCCTTGATCCATATTCGACCTCCTCAGATCTTGGTACTTCTCCACATGCAATCGAATGTGGTCACATCTTCTGTCTCAGGTGCGTCTAAATTTCTGCTCCCGGCCAGCTTACGCCCAGCAATAATATCTGTCCCTTATTTCATATCCTCTTCAATCTCAGGTGTCTTCATTCCTTAACCACAAGCATATGTCCCCTCTGTCGCGAATTTTTCGATTTAGACCGTGCCAAGAAACTCCACGTCGGAAATCCATCCGAACAAATCAATGCTGAACAAGACAATGCCGAACAGGGTGTCGTCAACGATCGTGCTGATTTCCTTCTTCATCGGATGTCTGTAGTCTCAGGCGAAGGTGTACCCGAAGTCGATGTCGTTGAAGTAGTCTCCGAAGTGCAGGAATGGTTACAGTCTCAACCGGATGACCCCAATTCTGTGAGTCCTGTTTACTCTACAAACGCATCACAAACGCAATGTATATCGATGCTTGCTATCAATAACTTACATAGTTTTTATCAAATTTCTCATGTGTGGCTTTTTTTAGCATATACCACTTCGAGCGGCCTTAGATTCCCTCCAGCGATACAAAGCTCTTCAACGTGAGAGCGAGTATGAAAAAGCAGAATGTCGTCGTCTTCGAGACCAACTTCGCAATAGCACACTAACCACGGACCGTGGCTCCAGAACATCTCGTGCTATGGAAGACGGTCTACTTGCTAGGATCGAGGCAATGGAGACTGAACGTGTCCTGTGAGCTGCTACTCATAAGTGATGAATATTGTTTAAATGATTTCTCCGCAGAGAGGTGATTATTTGGCTCAGTGGCGTTTATGTTGGACTTACGTTGCATCCACATAGATGTCGCAATTGCGATCTCAGTTGCAAAGCCTTGACAATCCCCGACCTCGATACCTCGTGATTAATACTAATCCCCTCCCCCCTCAGCAAAACTCCTTACCTCGCAGATTAAATTTTGGTACCCACATCCGAATGGGACATCTGAGTCTCTTTCCCTTGCACGGCCATCGGCTGACACCCTGGATTTCAGTTGTCTTTTCGTTGATTATCTTCTGCAGTATCATCGAGGTACGTGCACGTTCTATTTCAACAACAGCGAAATAATGACCCCTTGTGGTAGCTTTCAATCTCGGCCTGGCTCACGTCGCGTTTTGTTGCTTACCACAACTACTTCAGTCTAGCTGAACGAGACCGCACTTGTTTTCTCTTGTTCACTTCAGGATGGACAATCATATTATCCAGTGTCTCCATGTGTTTCTCCTCTTGTCCTCCAGGGAGTGTGTACGTAGACTTCTTTTGACACGGACGGACGGACTTGCTGATAAGCTCGTAGTCTATTTTTAACATGGATTTTCTGGACCGCGGGCGCTACAAGTATAACTACAGCTCTCAGTGGAGAACTGATTCACAAGTTGGTAACATCTTCTTTCAACTCACTGCTCACCTCGTATTTTCCTAGTACCCAGGGCGTCGTATATCTTGTTCAACTTAACGCGCTACAAGGCTTTGCGTGGGTTAATGAGTATGTGTCATTGATATGTCACCCATGGCTTCCTCGTTCACATTCTCGCTAGGGCTCTTGTAACTTTCGCATTACTAGTTGTGATCATCCGCAGCATTCTCACTGATTGAATGCATGTGGCCACTAGCGCTTACGCGGGCTGTTGTCTTTTACTTCTTTTTCCTCCATCTACGTCGTGCATTGTACATGGCTGATATACAGCTCCTTCCATTCCTCTCCCGCGTGATCCAAACTTAGTTGTACCGTATCCCAAGGGTTTACACGTCTCAAGATCCATGTTTAAAACAGATGATATTCGTGTCCATCCTCATAGTGCTATCTAAGTCGCTGCGATGGCTTGTCAATTCTCTGGCCAAATTTTAACATCACAGGCAGGCACAATTGTACAAGAGGCCGCCACCGTCCATCCGTACAGCTTTTTCGGACGCTTCAGTTTACGATTTGATGTCGGTGTTTCGAGTTCGCGCGTTCCAAATTACTCGTCATGAATTCTTATATACCCTATTCTTACACTGACCTGAACTTTTGAAGATGGCTCGCACGGCCTCGAGTCTATCTCAATGCTTGCAAGACAGACGGGCTTAGAAACAACGGACAGATGAATGTACTCGTGCCATTCGATGACAGCCTGGTCTACGCGTACAGGCTTGTTGCTTGTTTGCCGCTCAGTATCGTCAGTCTTTACTACCACATGGAAGCCAGCGGGGATCCGTCGGAGACCAAGAGTGATATCAGCTGCGCGAATGGCTTGGAAATCGTCAATGTATGCTAAACGGAGATTGTTATTACATACCGCTAATGACAACTTGTTGCATTCCGTTGAGGTGTGTCTCTCGCAGGTCCTGGGTGTGTTCTCAGGCTGCATGGCTAGGCTCCTCACTAAACAATATGCACATTGTCAAGCATTTAGATTATTAGTGCTGCATATACTTACTCGTCCTTTTTTTGCCTGAAAATGCGAAATTAAGTCCATGCATATGTTACACAACATAACGACTTACGGTCGCGGACGTTTTGAACTCTTCGTCTTGTTGTTATTATTTTTGCCTGGTGACTTGCGCGTACGCTTTGTGTCTTTCGGGGGCTCAACGCTGGGTGCGGAATTCTCTACTGGAGGGGTTGGGGAAGTTTTATGCGATGACGCTGAAGAAAAGTCTCGGACGCAGAGTCCGATTTCAATGAGCTTTGAGACTCGAAGGTGACACACATCGGCGACGGTCCATTAGTAAGGATGGATGAAGGATGGATCCAAACTAACACTTGAGAGTAAGATGTGAGCTGGAGGTCATGGAACACCGCGGCAGTACCTGTAAAGTCCTGCTGTATTGTCATCAAGAAGTGAGGGAACTACAGCATGCATGTGGCATCCATCATACCGTGGAGCGCTGATGTTAACAGGACAGAGGCGACTTGCAGGATATCGAGTCACCGCTGTCTACAGTGGGCCCGGATGTAAGATTTATACAGGTTTGAACTTTGGACAGGTGCAATATTAATTAAAACAGCCGAAGTTCTCCCGGTCCTTCCGCGCGAGCCTGAGCCACATTTCTTGCAATACTTGAAGGTACTTGTGGTACTTCACTTTAACCTAACATTATACAGCCAGCTGATCATCTGCTTTTTACCTACTCATTTCATGTTACAACGATACAGCTGGGTCTGTTCCTACGATGCAGTACAACAACAAACGGCTGCCAGTTTGTGTCACATAACTAAATCCTCGCATGCAGGCTGTTAATCTTTGCCCTCGTTCCCCTAACCATCACCCACATTGGATGATGTAGTGAATAAAAGGGCATGCGTCACATTGTCTGTCTGAAAGTCAAGGACTTCGTCAGTTAATCGCTCCATGTCCTCGGTGTCGATGAATCATATCGCCACATAATATCTAAGCTTTGAGTTGTGCACGCAAATTCTTCTCCAACGGGCCCTGGCTCGAATAAGCTGCAAAAAAGCTCCATCCCTGAACATCATATGCGTCAATTCAAGATACCCCAGGTAACAACATGAAATGATACCCACTTCAAAAATCTTATCTCCTGCAGCTTCAAGTAGTCATCATGCCCCACATTTGCCCCACTTCTTCGACACAATGATCTTTTGCAAGCTTGGGAACTTGTACCGTGCATGGCGGAGAGCTTCCCGGATGACCGCAGCGTTCAGTTCCTTGCAGCAGATGGAGAGGATGATCGATCTGCCCAATGTTTACCCGTGCGACAGTGTCATAAAGCTTCCACCAAGCACCGCACATACCAACATGAAGCCTGGATAGAAAACGTTAAACATATAGCACGAATTCACACCTGAGTCGCAAACATATCAGCACCCGCGCAACTCAACATCTTGGGATGACTTGAAATGGTACTCGGACACCCATTTCAAGTCCTTGCCAGAAATCTTGGCCACGGACTGTTGGCGCAGATGCGAGCTGCTTCAGGCGCCTCAAAACCCAGTTGCTCAAACATATCAAAAACGAGACAGCAGCAGAAAGGGAACTCGTCCACAGACGGAAGCTTCCGCCCAAGGTCGAAAATTCTGACCTACGAGGACGGAGTGAGTACGTCAGTGAGGTGATGTGGATGAACGGACCTTGGGGTCAGGTATATCACGAATTGTAGGGCTTGTTCTTACAGTAATGGTGGCGTCAGGCGGAATGACGATCCAATTGCGGTCAGTACATGGTTCTGCAGAGTCACATCTGAGACAATGGGATTACATCCACCCCAACCAATAGCAAATCAACACTCATTCGAGGTCAAATCACCCCCAACGTATAAGGGTCATCCAACAACTGGAAGAGCGACACACATGTTACATGGAAGTGGATGATGGAGCCTGAGGCCTGATGCATGATGTTTGCATCAAGTTTGCGTTGAACCTGACTCGGCAAGCGCCGGGCGAACCGTAGGTAATATACCCGTGCCGGCTATACCCTACTACTAGGAGCTTGTTCGGTAACCTGAGTTTGAATGAAAGTTGGGCGCAAAGTTTGACAATGCACAGCATTGAACAGGCGGCACGACGAACGCCGGTGTCGGAGATCGAATGTCTTTCCCTTCCGACCATGGCCACGAAATCTGTTATCAGCCATCGCGCATATGATCAGCGCAGAAAGCAGATCTTTGTAGCAGTCGCTACTTTCATAATCTGTAGCCAACTCCAGCTGATACAAATGTCTTTACCAAAGGAGAAGGCTCACTGGGAGGATGCTGAGGTTGATGCCCTCCTCGACTATCTTATCACACAACGATCAAAGTTGGCTGGAACCAACTTCAAAGAACCGACCTACAATGAAGCTGCCCTCAAGATCGCAGGGTTGAAGAAAAGTGGCCCAGTAAAGACAGCATCACATTGCAGGGTTAAATGGGCAGGGGTATGTTGTCTCTTGTGCCACTCTGAGTCCAGCCATCGCTGATGCAAATATTTTAGTTAAAATCTACTTACAATGCTATTGAGAAATATCGCAACCGATCTGGGTGTCATTGGGATAGTGAACATGGTGCTAGCATTCAGGGGGAGGCAGCTGAATCTGTGTGGAATGAATTTATTCACGTATGTAATCACATTTATGTATTAATTTCAGCTGAATTTATCTTGCCACAGAGCAGCTCTGGGAAGTCCATGAAGTCGTTCAAGAACACTGGTTGGAGGTTCTACAACAAGATGGACCAAATCCTACCGACTAACAGCATTGCACATGGATCTGCTTCATACAACCCCACGTCATCAGCTGCAACCGGCACTCAAGTCCCAGTGCCAGGTCCCAGTGTCAGTAACATCACTGATGATGCTGCACCAGTACCAGGTCCCAGCACCAGCACCAGCAACATCACTCATGATGTCAGTACTAGTATCCCCTCCCTCATGCCACCTCCTTCTTCTACCTCTAGCCTGGGAAAGCGCCAGCTCGACGATATGATGTCAGTTGCCCCTTCTGCATCCATCATGTCTGAGTCGGTCTCGCAGCTGGTACCATCAGAATCCGACAGCAAGAAGCTCAAGTTAACGGGTACGAGTCAGCGTAGCAGTGGGAATGGTGGCAGAAAGGGCAAAGATGCTGCCAGCGCCGCCGCATGGATGAACCTGCAAGGTTCCATTAATCGCCTGACCGATGGTCTTACAACATCGACCGTCACTGAAGATTCTCGGGTGGCGGATGAAACAAGATGTGCACTGGACAGCATGCAAGCAGAAGAGGACTTGTCGCATGATGAGAAGATTGTCCTCTTGAACGCGTTCTTGCTGAATGCGAGAATATGCACTGTGTATTTGAGTACCACGCCGGAGCTTCGCATTGGTTTTTTGCGGTCTATCATTCAACAAGTCAAGCACAATATTCCATTTTTGTAGTAGTAGCAGAATGTTGTACTACTACTGTATCAAATAGCATCATCATTGTCAGCATCATTTTCAAGCTCTGCATACTGTTCATCATCTGAAGCCGCCTCCTCATCACTTTCCAAGAACTGATCTACATCCATCAAGTCTCGTTCATACAAGTAGTTTTGATAATCCTCCCACATTTGCGTTGCAATCTGATCACGAAGGTTGTTTGTGTTGGTATGAATGGGCACTGCACCTGAGTTATCAGTGTCGGCATGTCCTGGAGGTGCTGGGAAGGTGTCGTGATGGTTGTCATTGACAACGGGTATGTGCGGCAAAGGACCTTCGTCTGGGTCATGAGCGCGGATGTAATTGTGAAGAGCGCATAGCGCTGTAGGAATCCGCGCCTGAATGTCAATGCTATATTCAGGGGATATGAGAAGGATGCGAAAACAACGTTTCACAACACCAAAAATTCGTTCAATGACGTTGCGAGCCGATGCATGACGGAGGTTGAACAACTCTTCTTTGTTAACAGGTCTAAAAAATAATGTCAGATGAGCAAAAAAAAACAACTGAAGGTTTACCTAGTGCTAGCACGGCCCCATTCAGCAAGGTGATAGTGAATGCCACGATAGGGGACTAAGAGCTCTTTACATGAGGGGAACCCTGAATCAGCAAGAAGATATTTTCCAGGCGGGATATTCAGGCCATCATTGCAAGCTACATCCCAGAGTCGAGCATCGGTTGCTGATCCCTCCCAGCCGGTCAGTGTGAATGTAAAATTGAGGTCAAAATCGCACACAAAAAGGCAATTTTGAGAGATGAAGCCTTTGCGATTGTAATAGAGGTGGCGGCTGTGTGAAGGAGGGTATGCATGGATATGACTGCCGTCAATCGCTCCGATGGCATCTTTGAAGTAAGGCCAGCGTTTTGGGTTGTCGCGAATTTCACTTGAGACAGGTGTGCTGTCAGTGGGAAGGCGGACATGTGTTGTGTAGAATGGATGGGACGAAAAAATAAAGAGCATCTTGCGGAAATAGCTGTTATATGAGTGACTTGGGGTTAGTACTAAGTTCAAGCAAGGTTTTGCAAACTACAAACCGAGAGACTGTATCATTTGACCGCTGGAATCGTTCCGCGAGATGTCTTAAAGATAATCCGGTCACACACGCATATAGGAATATTGCCAGCTGCTCCTCTAATGATACGTGGCGTGAATCTGCATGGCCAAGGCTTCGAAGATCGTTGACCAAACTCTCAAAGACCTCAGCATGCACCCCAAGCTCACAGCGTATGCGTTCAGGGTGGCCAACAATTAATTCCATCACCCATTCTTGACTGGTCAATGACAAGTGTGGTAGGGCTCAGGATCCTCAGGGGTCTGTTGTATGAGTAGATGTGTAGTAGCGGCAAGCAATATGTTTATCAGGAGAGCAATGTAACGGAAAGTGCGCTTGCGGACTTCTGCTCTTGCGATGTGCACCGTATCCGGTTGAGTTTGCTGAAGAAGATGAGCTGCAGTGAGATGCCCCCCATGGGGGGTAATGGGATTAGGGAATAGTGGCTGATTTACTGATAGGAGTCCCTGTGGATCCATGGCTGGTATGTTGTACCGACTCGTAATACCTGTGATGATCAGCACTGATCCTTTTCAGTCTCCGCTCACAACTCAGACGCACCTGCGCCACATCAAAATTGTGCGTTGAAGTAAAGTTGCTCTAATGTGGATTACCGAACAAGCTCTCAGGGTTTCGAAGTTTCGTTTTGCTTTCAAACGCACGTGATACGTTTTCGCGGAATTTTCGAAAGTCCCGTTAGTAATATACGACGTTGTAGGTGACACTTAGTGTTGTGGGCAGAACTGACGAGTTCTGCCAACCGGTTTGGCAGAACTGGTTGTGCCTGGCAGATGGCAGAACTCCGTGAAAAAGTGCTGGCAGAACTTGGCGGAACTCAGGGTTGGTAGAGCACTAGTCCATAATAATCTGTACAATATGTGTACCTTAAAAAAAGTGAAACGAGTCACATATGCCTCTTGGCTGATCCTTCGTCCCAAAATATGGTCCATGCTGGTGGCCGCCCAGTGCCATCCCTAATCAACGACAACTTTGAGCGTCTCGACAAAGTTGCAAACAGTTCTGGCCGTTACTTCTGGAAATGCAAGCACTGTGGTAATCTCGACAATTCCCTGGCGCCAAAATCCAAGGTCGCGACAATAGTCTGCCTAACCATATCATCCGCCACTGCAAGGATGCTGCTCCTGAGCTTCGCCAAAAAGCCCGGACATTATTATGAACAAGACAGGTGACGATGGTGGTCAAGTTATCTCACCAGCTGCTTCGTCTAGTTCTGGTGGTGTGATCAAGAAGCGGAAGAAGATTTCGACATTGGATGGATATGTAGACTACCCACTTAGTGACGAGCAAGCCAAACTTGCAAATATAAAACTGCTTCGGTAGGTTCACGATGAATGTGCAACAAAAATTCCAAACCAATATCATGTAACAAGGTTCATAATTCACGTTTCACCCGCTAGAGTTATGCCAACCGGCAGAACTGGTTGTTCTGCCGGTTCTGCCGGTTCTGCCGGCACTACTATTCTCAAGTAGTTCTGCCCACTGTAGTGACACTTCCGATCGTCCCGTATATAAATATAGCTGTTCTCCGATCACTTTCAACACTGGTTCAACTTCATTGGCCAACCATCACCAAATTGGGTAAAAACGAGTGGGACAATTCCCAGCGATTTCAATTCAGGGTTTCGAAGTTTCATTTTGCCGTCAAACGCACGTGATACGTTTTCGCGGAATTTTCGAAAGTCCCGTTAGTAATATACGACGTTGTAGGTGACACTTCCGATCGTCCCGTGTTTTCATTGGCCGCCTACTTTTAACACTCTTCAACTTGGCCAACCATACACTTCAATCACAGCAATCGGTATCCGTCCCTTTAGTATAAATATTGCACCTCCTTGTTGTCAGTATGAGCATTAGTCCTTCTGTACTCTCACACCATGTCCTCATCCTGTTCCATTCAGGTGTGCTTTCAAAGTTAGGAATCCTTGACTTATGACCGAATGACGCCGACCCTTCCAGATTGCGGCTGATGGCAGAACATCTGCAGAAGAACTCCCCCTTCCAGAAGCCCTTTGTCCTACGTCCCTCGTAATGAGGGTGTTGTGTTTTTTGGCACTGGGACGCCCAAATCTTGATGATCATTGGAAGTCGCTCCAATCAGAGCAAGCCTTCGAAACCGTTAGGACCAGGTTGTGCTCCATCCTGGCCAGCACCATCACCACGGTAAGCTATCCAACTCTGCGCCCGTCGCGAACCAGAGCCGACGCTGACATGCTCTCATAACTTAAGGCAAGCGTCCTCCTCGCCATAAGCGGTGTCTTCGTCAGTACGGCCTCCCCCGTGTTATACTTCGACTATACGTCGCCCGTTTCCTACTGTCTCCTCTTTATATCCCTTATGTTCGCCGTGCTCGCTATGTTGACGTCTGGCTCGAGTATGATACGTTGGCTGCACACCGATCGCCACTGGACTCGAGAAGTAAGTCTCATTCTCGCCATGCTGATTATATTGGCTGACTTGATATAATCAGCAACTCAGGCCGGGCGGCTACTTTGTCTTGTCCTACCTGTTGTCGATAGTCACGCCTATATTCTTCGTTCATTCTTCGTTCTCTCGTCCCTGAATTGTTTCATATTCGGTGAGTTGTTCCCTCATTTCGTTCTTTTCGTGGTCCCTCATGCATTTCACTCCTAGCGATGTTGATAGCAGGTTTTTCTTCTCATAGCATGATCTGCCGCGCCGTCGCTGCGCTCTGGATGATCACATACGTTGTCAATGTGGGCGCAATATTGATGGAAACTATGTGGAAGTATGCGACAAGCCTCAATCACGCTGGACATCGCCAGTAGTTCCCACTTACCTCCTTTCACCCACAGTTTGTACTAGTTATGCTGTATACGACGTCCCTGATATGACACAAATGTGCTTCGAGTATATGTATGCAGTCTGTAGTTTTCAATTATGCAAACCAAATTTTCAAGTATTTCGCAGAATCACACACCATGTCGAATCGTGTCAATGTCAACGCTCATATAAAGTCTCGATTGGAGGATGCTTTCGCAAGAGGGAATTAAGAACATTTCAATTCACATCATGAAACCTAATCGATGTTATACAATTTTTGACAAGTAACAATACAGAAAGCACGACGAAGGCTGTATCTAGAGGATGAAACATCAGATAAGATTCAACAACGAGATACGTTCCCTCAGGAAGAACAAATTGTCCATCATGAAAATCGGACATATGCTTGTATGTTATAGAGCATCTTGGGGAGTGAAGGGGAAGGGGATATAGCAAAATACTCACCAGTGCTCCATTATTATACAACCATCACAGGACGATCTGTCAAAAGAGAAAAGGAAAAGTAAGCAAGTGATGCAGATGAGCATGAAGCATGAAGATGAGAATCAGTTGGTGATGCATGTTACGAGTGATGGCTCATTGGAGACCGTCGCCGACTCGAGGATGGAAAGTATCGTCATTCGAGAGCATAAGTCGTGAGGCTTACCTTCGCCAGTATACATGTGTATCGCCGTGTGCGCAATGGTGAAAGTATGAAAAAAATAGGCTTCCTTGCCGAGCTTGATCCTGAAGCGGAGTCTGGCGGAGATTCAAAAACACCTACAGTTTCTCTCGCGATTTTCTTATTCCATGTTCATGTTCCGCTCTCGCTCTGTCGTCGTCTCCAGTCGTATGGATCAACTGGATTAAGGTGAGCAGCAAAATTTCTCGATGTTGGAGCTTTAGTGCACTTTTTTTGTGATGATACAATCAGTTCTGCTTCCGAAAGAGACACAATCTCTTGTGGACAACCTTTTACCAAAAATTCTCAATCCTGATCCGCTTTTCTCTTGATTTACGGAGAGCACAACATGCTAACGCTACTGTTACAGTTGAATACACCGGTTCTTCCTCGATGTGCTCATTATGGTAGAGTGAGTATCCACTATGATTTTGTGCATTCATATTTGCAAGACGAAACCAAGTTCATCCATTCTTTGAGTCTCCCGTAGTTGCACGTTCGTTTGATCACTCTTGTTTGCAAGAGATACGTTTATGCCTCGTTTTGATTCATGTGCGTTGGTCCAGCGGGCGTTGCCTTGCGGGAGACAAGAAAACATCGGCTTTTCTGATTCATGTCGAGGTCCTGTTGAACACCTTGCTTACTGTTATGCTTTAGGTCGACTGCGATTCTAGATCACTATATGTACTTGACACGACCATGTTTGTTTGTCAATAAAATATGTTATGTTTTGCATATGACCGGGCACTGCGAGGCACGTTCTATGGTATGTAGTACAAGTCAAACGTAGAATTACAAGATATAAGCTCTATTTGAGATAGTCGAGTCCCCCATATCTGCGAAGAGCCAATTGAGAATAGCTGCAAGCCTAATACCACCCTGAGACATCAGCTTCTCAACAATCCATGCATCCTCGATTGCCCCGGAATACTCGGGCGTGTCGAGCTCGAGGTATGGATTCTTCCTCGGCCTGGTGAGCCAGTGGACTTCAAGAGTTTGATTGGATGAGTTGCAGGCATGATCGTGAGTACCCTCAGAGAAGGAAACACGGTTGTATGGTGGTTCATCTAAGGCCTTCGGGAACACGATCTGGCAGTTCAGAGCGTGAATGGGAGTTGCCCAATGGTATGGACACAAGGTTTCATCATCGGTGTTCAAACCTCCATCTGTAAGATGCGACCCCACAATCCAAGACCCTGTGCGACGCCCAAAAGTCCAAGATAACCATTGCTCCCAGTGAGTTTGGAGGAGTTGGACGGAGGGTTCGGCGGGACACGTAAGCCATGAGTCGAGCTCGTTCTCGTACTTGCCCATAATGCCTTCCCATACGATACGGCGAATATAGGGGTCGTAAATAGTACCCCGAAGGTGAGTCTCAACTTCGGGAAGTGGCAGATGGCGGGTATAATTGGATGGTATTGTGCGGATTCTTTTGGCTATGAGGAGGCCATCCCAGAGAGAGTGAAGGTCTATGGAAGATGATGATAAGAGCGAGGAAAGATAAGAGCGGGAACGACTGACTTGTTACACGACTGTCAAATGAGACTTTAATTCCGTTCCCTCCTCGATCACGTCCTGTGAGGTGCAATGGCATATGCATATCCCCGACGAAGTGAATGAGAAACTTGAGTGCGACTTGTGCTGCATCTTCATCGCTCGCAGTGGTCAAGCCAGCTTTGCGCAGGCCCATGTAACTCTCCAGAGTACTTGTGGTATTCCTTATGCCGCTAAGCACGTTGATATTCCTTCTACCCTCCCAGCCTTTCTCTCCCGGAAAAAGGCAAGTCTCGCTAGGATAGTCATCCGTTGCGCCAATAGTGAAGGGGGCCTGTCCACCTATACTGTGGCAAACCACGGACCTTGTCCGCCCAGGCAGCAACCGGAGCGAGATGGCAGTCCCCTTTGTAGTTCAAGATGTCACACAGAATGGGCATGACTGAAGGATGCAGATGCATCTGAGCGACTGTCGCGACGACTTCATGACCTATAGAAAGATTAGACTCTTCAGAGGCGACGCTCCACCATACTCACCTACCGCTCCCCATGCACTGACGTATGGTATGATAGTGGACCCTGCGGCAAGAATGAGCGATACCCGCGAAAAGCGCATCGTGGTGGTGTAAAAACAAGCCGATACTGAAAGCGAATCTTCTTATATCCAGCGGAACGTGCAGTCGGAGGGGAACCAAATGGGCTTGCACAGATAAGGTGACAAGCGTAGTGGCAGACAAGAGGTCTGAGGATAAGGGAAATACAATAATAGCTTGTACACAGCCACATGCCATAGCAACTCGAACATATTACAGTCCTTCCGGAAAGTCTTGACTCACGTGTTCGAAACGGTTCAAAAATAGTGAAAATGTTGAAAATTCAATTAAATCACTTTCGAGTTTTGTATGCCTCTGAACGGCTTCAAAGATATCATATCTCACACGTTTGTCACTCAGACTCGTCATGGTCTACCAGAGTATCAGTCGCGATCGGAAAGAACGAGCCCTGTACCTGCTTTTGGAGGAAGGATGGGACATTGAGCACATTGCTGTTGCTCTCGGAGTATCGCCCAGAAGCATAGAGCGGTGGAAGGTAAATTATGATGAACATGGTCATGTTAACCCTCCTACACCAATCATGGGTCGCCCTCGCTTGCTGGATCAAGTTATGACAGACGAGATCCACGAGCTGCTAGCTGAAACCCCGTCACTGCTACTTGACGAGATCAGTGAATGGCTCGCCATATACCACGATCAGCCTATATCGACGTCAGCTCTCCACGAAAACCTCAGGGACCTTACACCTTCATAGGTTGTTTACTTATATTTGTGCCGCCATACTCTCCAGATTTCAATCTGATCGAGGAGAGCTTCAGTTGCTGTACGTTCGACTACATTTCATTTTATTCTGTCGCTCACACTTCCGCTACAGTGAAGAAGTGGCTTCACGGCATTGGAGAGATCTCCAACACAGCCAATTCCCTGAGCAGGACCTTCGTGAAGCTTGCTTCAGGGCCGTAAATGCCGAAAATGCTCGAGGCTGGTATATGCATAGTGGCTATCTGTAGCGCGGACAATATTACGCAGGGGAGTAGCTAATAGCTGCATTTACGGGGTAACAATATACAGGTATGAATATCTACAAGTTTGTGTAAGATTATCAGAGTTTAACAAGTGGTAGATGTGCGAAGGTATCTGCGGCACAGTCGGAATCATATTTCCGCTTCATAGCTTACTACCAGGGATCCGAATCTTCAGTGCAGGCTGCTTGGCATAAATTGCATCTGCCTAGGTGTCAGTTTATTCCCGTCGAGTAACAAGGAGGTAGTCACGGTAACCTTTGATCGCTTGTAGCTCAGGAGCAAGCTCTAACTCCGAGTCATCGTCCCCATAGGTTTCATCACCATACTCGCCCGAGGAGTCTTCCATACCACCAAGATTACCATGTTCTTCGTCTAAAATGTTGCCAGATTCCATATGGATACCATCAACAGATTCATCATCAGAGTGTTGTGAATGAGAGGCATCCTCCTCGTCGGAGCATTCAGTTACTGTATTAGACATAATCTAACGTTCAAAGAGTGACACTTATGCTTTTCTGCTCGACTTTGAAGGAGAGTGGTGCAAGTTTGCTGAATTTTCGATTTATTTGAATTTTCAACATTTCTACTATTTTTGAACCATTTCGAACACGTGAGTCAAGACTTTCCGGAAGGACTGTATTATCCATATCGCCGCTCACCCCCAGTGAAACTGGACATGGCCAGAACGGTTGAGATAGAGTAGAATATTGTTTAGACATATGATTTATATATCCTGTAATATGGTATCATCTTCACAACATCATCATGGTCTGTGCATCACATCGTAAAAGCATCGCATCGCATCACGAAACGTTACTTAAGTGTAGCCCCCGGGGTAGTCGAATTAGAGATCCACCTCCGCCTGACAGCAACTTAGGCAAACGCCCTCAGCGGCTGTACTCCGTAAAACAGCGATAGGCTGTCGGGGGTGTCTGCGTTGCAACGGACGAGTCAGGAGTAACCACCGTCGGACACTGTACATGGTAATTGCCGTTGTCTTACCTGCCAATGCATGCAGCTCACTGAGATTGACTACGACATTTCGATTCGCATGTCACATGCCAATATCAGAGAAAGCATGAGTCCTTGATTTTGTAGCCGTGGGAAAGTAAATGGTGTGCGATCGAGTTTCAGTCGCACCGTTGAGCTTCGATGGCGGTCCATCCCGAAGCCAGATCGGTTCACCGAACTGGAAGTCGGGGATTATTATGTCATTTGATCTCATCACTTGCTCATCACAATTAAAAATGTTCAAGTTCAACTTCGACGTGGAGGACGATACTGAACATTACAGTACAGCTGTAAATCACACAACACAGAACCAGGGGCACGCTTCCGTGGAGGCGGCAGTCGTTCCTGATGTATTCACGGAGCTTTTTCTCGCAGACGCAGTACGTATAGACGCTGCTCATCTTCGTTTTGTAAAACTGATCTGGGCGCGCAAGGATTAGTTAAACAGCCTACCGTCCAAAATATCTTACTCTCCAGTCACGATCCCACTTGCCAACGGAGGTGAACTTTCCCTTCCACGCCGTGATCTGTTCGATGCGAGGTTTCAATTGATCTCTCAAAATGTTGATGACCCGGATGCATTGGAGCAACCGTCCGTCAACGCACGGTCGGCGCTGCACTTTTTAGATACACCCTCTGACCTCGTGCCTCTCGTCTATGAGGGCGGCTTGAAGACTTGGGAATGCAGTCTTGATCTTGTCAGCTATCTAGACGGCATAAAGTCACAGTTTGATTTTAGCGGCAAGCGCGTGCTGGAGGTGAGCATCCATTCTCTTTGCTTTTATCGTAGCATGAAACTCATTCATCGCTTCACAGATCGGATGTGGCACCTCGATTCCATCGCTATACATCCTTCATCGAATATTCTCCTCCCCACCTTCTCAGAATCAGACACATATACACCTCCAGGACTATAACGCCTCCGTGTTGGAATTGGTGACTATTCCCAATATTATTCTGACCTGGTGTTCGTAACATTTGGTTTATTTTCTTTCTTCACGTCTCACTCATGATACAGATCTGTCAGAGGCAGCAGAGACATACCGCAAATCAGAGGAGCGGGCAGACTCTCCTTTGGAATTGAACATCTCGGAAAGTCTTAAAGACGCGTTCCATCAATCCCTGGTGACCTATGGTGTCGATTTACGTTTTTTCTCTGGCTCATGGGACATTCGACCTCCAAAATCAGTGGGAGCTACAACCTGGTGTTAACATCTGAGACCATATACCGG